GTACTGTCAAAGTTAAAGGCGGCTGGCTGCTGCTTGTTCCTTTCCACTTCATTTCTTCGGTGTTGGTCTGTGCGTTGCTAAATGAATCACTGATTGAAATGTGCAGGTTGTCCATTTACCATAATCCTCTTGTCAGGCCACAGGAGTAGCATGATGAAGAGGGAAATTAATGCTAAAATTGAAAGCTGCACTGCTTGTTTGGTGCCGATACAGTCGCTGTCCCCACTGTTTGCCGGTTAATGTTACAGGCTTCAGAGGCGGTCACGTCTGTCTGCAAATCAGTAACTAGATTAGTTGACTTGCGCTGCAAGGTTAGGCAGCATTTGTATTGCGATCCTCATGTGCAATCTGGCGGCTTGTTCCGGTGTAACAGAAAAGCACTACAATGTAGCTATCAATTTACATCCCGAAGTAATCTGCTCTGCCCTTTGGCGTCAGAGGTGGAATGAACAGCAAGGTACCTTTGGCATTGATAAAGGGTAAAGGGTTATTTTGTATTGTCCGTTTCCTTTCTACATTGACCTCTGCCTAAAATATAGTCCTTTATTTTGGAGAAGTAATCTTGTACTTCTAAAAAGGAGAAAACTCCTGTGTTGAGTTGTTCAAAACTGGCTAAAATCTTTACTAGTCAACAAATCCGAAACAATGACAAAAAATACGGAAAACGGGAAGCAGCATGATGTGTGCTTTAAATAGATGCATAATGTGTCCAAGGACCTGTATTAATGATTATAATCATGTCTCACATTATCTTTTAAAATATTTGAAATGTTCAACATATCCAATAAAGACCACAACGTCTTAAGGTTGTGCAGAGAGGCCAGACAAATTAGATCCTTCTTTCCTCCAGAGTTAATGGAGAATAAATCATATCTATTATGATTTGAAACGGAGCAAGCTGTCTGTAATTTGTCACTTATTGTCATCACTATTAACTACATACAGCACAAGAGTGACAGCCTTTTTGTAACTGATTGGAAGTTTTTTCATGTATGATTAGCCCTTCACAGAAGCCGGAATCTAAGAGTATATTTTGTATAACAATTTAAAAAAAATGAAATATACTTTTAGAGCATTTCCACTTATGGCTAACTAGCCAGGTAGAATTGTTGGTAAAATTTTGTGGAATGCTTCAACTTGTCATGCATGACCTTTTCAGTCTTTTGAAATGACACACTGCAATATTTGCATTGTTTTGATTTTCAAGATCCACTGTCTCTAGAGAGAGATGCTTAGCTCCTGTTTTCCATAGTGAGCCTTGTATATTATTCGCATTGCTTCTCTTTTGTAAGCATTTTGGTAGCTGTAAGATGATTCTGATGGATTGGGACCTCAAAGCACATCAGGGCTCTCCAAACACTGAGTCATCAGTCTTCAAGTACGCTGGCCACTTCAAACATGCTGCCTTCCTGGGTGCACACTGCAACCCAGCAACCTGAGAACACCTTCCAGTAGCAAGACACTTCGTACTTACAAGCCCTCTGAGGACAAGTTCTTTGGACATTACAGGCTTTCTCAGCCAAGCTTTCAGTTTTCTTCTCAATTATTCAGCGTATCTCTTTCTCTGCTTGCGAACCTCACAAACCTTCACTTCCTGTTATTTTGAAAACAGTTGCTGGCTGAATCCTCATCTTTACTTCATATAAACCATTTGTAACATTTTAAAAGCCATTGCTTTTTGATCATCTTCAGTTTGAGACTACAGAACTGGAATAGAGGGGTTCTTTGGAATAATGGTTTTGTTGTCTAAATGATCAAGGGACTGGAACCAAAAGTGACTGAATAGAATTTGTTGTGACTTTAAATGGAATTTGTCCTTTTAACTGTATTAGGCACCTTTTCCATTATATGCTTAACCTTGTTGTTTAGAAATAACAGGAAGAGGGAAGAGGCTTGTAGTTTCTGTGTGATTATCCTGTAATGTTTGGGGATTGGGCATAGTTTCACTTATTAGGTACCTCAGGTTGGAGTGAGGGTATTTTAGAGTGTATTAGGGATGAGATGAAGAGGAACAGTTCATGCCCCTGTTATCTTTGAGCAGTTTCTTGATACAATTATCAGGGAATTGCTGTTCCTCTACGCGAGCATTTATGTTCTATAAAAGTCTTGAAAGCTTGCTGAAACGGGCTTTGTTTCATGCTGTTAGAATTTTAAGTTTATTGTTTTGAGAATTTCAAATCTCTTAAATGGATTCAACAGTTTGTTTTAATTGGCTAAATTTGAGCATTGATTTGATAAAGTTGTAAAAATCTTGCAGCGAATATATAAGACAGTGTCAAGTCCAGATACTATTCATGACATTACCGAGTTGATGATCGTTATTGAAGACATTGAATTTGAAGTCATGTTAGTCTAAGCAATAGTGAATGTAAAATATTGCACTTAAGTCAGTCTTGCCATTTTCATTTATTCTTAATATGTTTTGTTTTTTTTTTATTTGTGCTGTTACTTGTGCTCCAGGATTTCATTTAGTGAGAACTTTTTTTATGATTCCTTTCCATTTTCTGTAATTCCATTTTTCTCTCCTCACATGCGTTTCTCTTTACCTTATTTCTGTTCTGGATTGAACCAAATTGTCCCTTATGAGATATGCAATTACTAGGAAAACAGCGGAAATGAACTGCATACTCATGAGATCATGTGTGACAAGTAATTAAAATTGCAGCTTCACAGTCAGTATGACAACAAAGGTGCTTACTTATTTCCATGGAGCTCAGTGGTACTCTTATAAAATTTTCATGGACACATTTCACATTCACCTTTGCTGTGTCTCCTGGTGCCACCTCGCATGCCGTGACCGTTCATTGTTTAGAAAGGCTTTATTTCTATAAAAACATAAAGTAGTTGTTGACTTGCTTGCCATTTCAGTGTATATGACATGGATTTGAACCTGTTGGGCTATTAATATTGGCTGAAGAGCTTTCTTTTTTTAACACAGAGCACAAACTCTATGGATTAGGAGTTCTGAAATTGTAATTAGATTTTTTTTCTTTTAATATTCAAATAAAATCCATTATGTGGAATTTTTCACTTTCTTTTTAAACCACTGAAAAAAAATGAGATGTGTGCTATTTTGATGCATTCTATATTCCTAGAGCATTGCATTAACAAGTTGTCCCTTTTAGTACATCCAAGCGCACAGGAATGGGCAGTGATGGATAGTAGCTCTGTCAATATGCCCATTTTGTTGGCCTGTTGGCTTCTGTTGTCCTGAAACACAATGAAGTTTTTTTTTTCCCATATTGAACCTAACATGAAGTATTAAGTTAGAAAGAACCATAAACATTTTAGGCATCTGTTTGGGATACATAAGTGAATAGAAGGAGGGAAATAGGTTATAGTTAATGGGAAATGGAGGCCAGAAAATACTAAGTAAAATAAATGGAGTGATAGAAACAAATTACCTTCAATGAGTGCCCACTTTATAAGATTACAGTAAAACCTGTGCTGAATCTGACCCAAGAAGATTGATTTGTTTTAAATAATCAATTACAGGCATCCCTCAGCTGTGCATTATTGTATGAAACAGACAGCCAAAGGGTAAGATGTCTAATGCATAACACTGGCCTAAGGTATAACATTGTTTTCCTTTGATAGAATAAAAAGTAAAGAAATACTGAAGCAGAAGGTCATCAAGGAGCATTTGTTTAAGTGAGACATCTGTTTTGGAAGTGGACTGTATTTCACAGTGGTGAACTGATCAAATGCCCCTTTGTAATTTCCAGGAGGAAGAGGCTGGGGAAGAGGAGAATGGCAGAATCGAACCTGTTGGGCGTGCCGACTCTTGCCTGGAGCCTGTTTTGTCCCTTGAGTAAGTCTGCTTTCTCTGGAGAGGCTCATGCGGTCTGTTTGGCGCTGTTGACAAGGGCATATCCCATGTCTGTCTTAATGACCAAGAGACAGGTGTGTTATGGTATCAGTCTACACAGACAAACAGGATTACACTTAAATGGCCAAAATGTACGAATATTCCGAGAGCCTGCTTTACTTTGCCTGCTTTAAAAACTCTTCTCTAATGAAAATCAGATAAATTAAAACTAAACTATGCTGGAAAACTGCAGTTTAACTGTCATTTGAAATTCTTAATTTAATCAAGGTTCTTTACTTCAGGAAATCTGAGGGATCTTAGTAGGCATTCCAAAAAGAAGCCCTTCATAGAAAGTTTACATTTGAAATTACCCTATCAACATGGAATCATCACTGCCATTATTCATATTCATTGTTATTTTTTTCTGTTTTTTTATTTAATTGTTACTTCTCCCCATGCTTTCAGTCTGATCTGCAGGTATGTTCAGTAACAAGCTCTGACCCCGTTTTAGTTCACTTTGTGTTTTTGGTTTTATTATTTGACCACATCTGATGCACATGCTCATTTTGCCTCATTCATCATTGTCTCACAGTGACATGGTAAAGCTGGTAGAAGTCTCCAATGATGGTGGGCCTTTGGGAATCCATGTAGTGCCTTTCAGTGCCCGAGACAAAAGGTAAAGCTTTGTGAAGGCTGTTAGGCAGTAGGCACTGTATAGTAATAGAATGCTTATGTTCCAATGTCTTCTGCATCCTTGTTTAAAAAACAATCTTTGAAATGATGTACCTTGAATTTGCAATGGAATATTTCTTATTACAATCAGGTAAAATAAATGCATACCACTCAAGGTTTTAAAGTGCACAAATAAAGGTACATTCATATTGGTGCACAAAGCAAATGAGACAGTTTCCAAAAAAGCTAATTGAGCAGTTCAATGCAGTACTTTTTAAATAGTGGGCAGTTTTGTTATTGTTTGGGTACCATTATGCTTAAGGATAACAGAATGCTGAAATCGAGTAATGATTTCTTAAAAAATGATCTCTAAATATGAATAAATAGGCATTAGAAAATACATGTTTATGATTATTTTAAGAAAATAGAAAAAAATGGCCATGTTCCACTTAAGTAATGGAAACCACCTGGCATGTATCAAGGCAGTCTCACTGTGCCAGAAGTTGCTGGGGAAAACAAGATGTCCTGCTTCAACGAGCAGCCGACTCATTCAGCAGAAGCAGGAACCTGGCTCTGTGAGGGACAGACTAGGTCCTGGAAGGCAGAGGTTCACTATGCCAGCTCAGGACTATCACCTCTGCCTGAACCATCCGCACAAGAAAGACCAGGAGAAAATACCAGCGGATTGACTGTAGCTCACTGTGTACTTCACAATTATTAGTGGGCCTGGAGGGTAGATCAAGGCTAACATTGACAACTGAAAGAGTGACTTTCGCGCCCTTTCAGGCCTGTTAGTGGGTTGGTGGAGGAGTGATGATGTGGGTAGAAATGTGCTTTAACACAAATCCAATTTGGTTCAGATGTTGGGTAGCATTACTACTCAGCAGTACATTGACAAAGGCCTTGGATGATTAGTATTCCATTCCTGAAGGTGCTGATTTTCTAAATGACCAAAGCTTGTTAATGAAGTTCCAGGATTATAATGCTACAGCTTTAAGAAAACCATGTCAAGGTCTTGACCTGGTTAGTTTTTTTTTCTCCTGACCTCAGTCCATTAGAACATCTGTGGTATCAGGTCATTACTACCACCAACATAACACAATGAAGTTTAGCCACATGCTTTATGGGGTCTCTGTAATGAAGGTTTCATGTTTAATGCTGAAAACTATTACTTTTCAATATGTTATTTGATGTTGTTTATTCTATTTAACATATCCAATTAAATGCATTACATCTGAGTATTGCAGTTCTTTTGTGCATCAGTATATATAAAGCATATAAACATTGTGTATTATATGTGATATGTGATTTTGGTTTGATAAGAAAAATTAAAGGTTCAGTTAATTTCTTTGAAAGGCTGCCAATTAATTGAAATCTAATAGTTATGACTCATACTGTTGGCTTTTAGATTTCTTTCAGTTCTCCTTGTGCTGTTTCATTCAAAATGATGTACAGTATCTCACTATAAACACCATAAGAACATAAGTATAGTTACAAGAGGAGAGGCTATTAAACCCAGCTAGCCTATTGCTCATAGGTAATTGATTTCGTCCAGCTTTTTCTTGATAGAAGCCAGGGTACAACTGAGTAGCTTGTTTCATACGCCCACAACCCTTTCTGTAAGGGTTTTCTAGTTTTCTGAGTTTTAAATGCTTTTTCCCATAGTTGATGGTTGCATCCTCTGGTCCATGTTTCAGTGTTTATTCATCATGTTACTGTGTCCCACCCTGACCATTAAAGTCTTCAGATGGTGACACAGAAGTAGTATTTCCCTTGTGGATTTTTATAACAAATATGAAATGCTTACTGCCTTTAATGATATTAAGGCAGCTGAATATGACCCAATCAAACTAAGAGCTTATTTATGGCATGGGTCTTCTGCCAATAGGGTCGTAAACTGCCAGTTTCGAAAAAAACTGTTCACAGTAACTGGAACAACACAAATATGGAAAAAAAAACAATACTTGCATGGTTTTACTGTGCTTGGTACGTGACTCAACGTTTTTCTCTTCAAATAATTAAAATAAGCTTTTCTTCTTAAAAGTCTCACCTTTTAGATTTTTTATTTTTGTAATGACGTATAACCACAAAGGAGAAATCTGTAAATGCAACATGATCTTTTTCTTTCGCTGTCATTAGCATTTAAAAACATACGATCAGCTACTAACAAGAGAAGACCATTCAGCCATTCTAATTCAAGCAATTCATTCTGCTATTTCATGAAAGAGGCTAGGAGATCAGATTCACTGACATGGCTATGGAGCATAACCCTTTGCATAAAACTTAAATTCTTATTCTTGGTTTTAGATGCCTTCTTACATAGTTTCCCCTTTTGCCCCCTAGTTCATGTGTCAGTCCCCTTGTAGTTTAGACTAAAAAGGTTTATGTTAAAAAGTCGTGTTGTAGTTGCCATATTAAATGGTCATTTTTAATAAGCATTATTTTGTTGTCAACTACTATTAGTACAGAGTTTGAAACGTACATTTTTAAAATTATTCCAGCATTTCTATTAGATATTATACTTTATAATACATTAGTGCAGTGTTATTTAAATTGGGACTGTCATTTACTTTTTGCATGAGCTTATTCTGCATTTCTCTGTGATCTCTCAATGTTTATGTTCCAGCACACTGTTCAGTTAATGTGCAGGAGTGGGTCACTGACAGTTCTACCCCTTCCATTTTGCTGGGCCTTGTCTTGATCCCCACTGAAACAATGAGTTGTGGTCTAGTGCTGTGCACAATAAATGTATGCAGTTAGGAGACAGGCATAAGCGCACCTTTCCCCTTGCTGTAAAATTGTGAATTTAATAATAATATGCATTTTACAGGTCAACAGAAAGGATCACTGTTTATTCTGGGTCTCTATGGCACTGAGGAAAAGGACTAAGCAGCAGAGCTTGAAACTCAGTGGTGGGGAGCGAATGTTTAGTGTATCTTGACTGAGAGGGGTTTATAGAAGCTAAAGAAGACAGACAGATAAGGCTGTGCCTGAACTTATTTTCTATCTAGATTAAGCATGACAGCACAGGGTCATGAGGATGGCTTATTAAGATGTCTGCAACAGAAATGTCCTCAGCATTTCTTTTCTTCTCAGTGTCCACTGACTGGATTTTGTATTAATGACTATTGCGAACAGCTGCCAAACAATTATCCTAAAAATAAAATAGTCATAAAAATGTATGGGCAAGATAATGATTTCATCAGTGGTTTGTGCAGAGAAGAGCAGCATCAGAATTAATACTTTTGGAGCTGTCTGTTATTACTCACTTGATGAAGGGCACAAGGTCAAACTGTTGCATACTAAAGAGCTTTGAGACACTCTACTATTTTAACTGCATTTCCTCCGAGAGCGAGGCTCAGTGATATATTTTAGTAATGAGATTTCATTGTGACCGGATTGAACTGTAAACAAGCTGGTAACATAATTGCACTGTATAACTGCAGTCTGATTACATTATTATTCAATTAAATTCAATGAATATGAGCAGGTGGTCTCTTTCTAGCTGCTGTTTTTTTTTTTTCACAATGGATAAGCTGCTACATTGCTTTTAATGAAGGAGTAGAATATTAAGCCAGTTGCATTAAACACATACTGCAGGAGCACCTCTATATAGTCTACCTGCAGACCAGCTGGAGAAATCCTTAGGGCTCAGATAACAGGAACTAATCTGTTGCTCGATTACGTTTTTTTGCAGCGGTTCTTAAAATGTCCAGAATTTTGTGTGATGGGCAGAAACATAGCTTACCATGGAAGTGGCTGGGGATTATAAGTGGCTGAATCTCAGTCCAGTCAATAGTGTCAGAATTGGCCAGTGATGATTCAGTTGGGAATTACTGGAGTTTGCCTTAATGCTCTTATCACTGGTTCTCTGTTTATACTGTGTCAACATTTATGAAGATAAACTGTGATCTAGCTGGCTTCAGCCAGGGTGGTAATTACATGGTGTTCGCACTTTCAGGGACTTATGAAGCTCATAAAAAGCTTTTGTACCACTCCATTTCAACTTTCACATGTCATTTGTTTACACTTCTATGTGAAATGTTTCTGTGGTGTCAGTGTGTTTTTTGGACAAACTAATGTCGGAAGTATACTTGATTTCCGTTAGAACACTAAGTAGCCTACAAATTGAGAATTTCTAAAAAAAATGACCTCTATTAAAATGTTTCATTTCAGGCAAATTAATAGCCATTTTTAATTAGCAATGATAATGGGTTTTGACAATTTAGGTAATGAGGTATATATATTAAAAAGGTATCTATTCAGAAATCAGTATTTAATTGAATAAAAATACATTTTATAATTGCTTTCTATTTGCACCTTATTTTTAAATGCTTTTCAGGATTTGGCCTTTCTGAAAGCTGCTGTCAGATACAACAAGGAGCATGATATCTTGTCTCATTTTATATTTAATTCTTGAAGGCACACTCATGCAAGATGCTCAAAACAAAAAAAATGCTAATTTTATTTGACTTTCTTGGCATATCAAATTATTTTCTATCTATATCCACGTTTAGCCCAAAAAGGTAACCTAATGGAGATTGTAATTTATTCATTGTCATCTTGATGCTATTTGATGGCAAAGGGTTTGCTTTTTTAGGCTACTGAGATGACAAACCTTAGTAACTTCTGAGTTATTTTTTAACATTACTACCTACTCACAATTTTAGGGCTTTACTGCATTTTCTTTTAATTATCCTTTGGACTGTGCTGAAATGTGACAAAAGAGTATAATTTTAAATGCTATTTAGATTGGTGGTGGTCAAAGTAAACTATTAGCTACAGTATATGAAGGTAATGTACAGCATCTATAAATTCAGTTTCTTTGTTTTTCAGATTCAGATAGTTTGATTTGCTTTATCCTAGACTACGTATCATTAAGACTAGTATGGTAACCATTAGTATGATTTTTCCAGGTAATGAATTAACCTTATTTGTGTACCTTGTAGTGAACAAATACATGAATCAATGTAAATGGTAGCAGATATTTGTAGTAAATCTACTAAAAGTGTAATGGATTTTATATCTCTGTGTATACCAGCTGTCTAATGTGTCTAAATGCAAAATTGCAGTTTTTTCTCCTCAATCAGGCACATCACATGGATGCAGAAGACATTAGGAAAAATATTGTGTAGTGTTGCTAGAAAGACTTGACTACTGCTAGCAGTATTCCCTGCTTCCAAACAGTCTTATTGTTCAACAGTTGAATGCTTTTAGGTACAGTGTAGTTCTATCTTATAATTAGCACTGCAGTGTTATTAAATTAACATGGCAGGGCAGTGATGTCTGATTTGACTGTTCCAGGACCCTGGGGTTGTTAGTAAAGCGGCTGGAGAAAGGTGGCAAAGCTGAACAGGAGAAACTGTTTCATGAGAACGATTGTATCGTGCGGATTAATAACGGAGACCTTCGCAACATCAGATTCGAACAGTAAGCCTCTCAGGGTCTAATCTTGGGGTAGCTTTTCCTCCTCCTTCGTTCCTCTTTCCTTCAGCAGCCGATGCATGCTTGAGCCCTGTGGCCACCTTGTGAGCTAACACTTCGTTTTTTTCTCCAAATATGATTCCTCAGATGCTGACAATACTGTAGGTGAAAACGTCTGCACTCTAAGTCTGCATTAGTAGGCTTTGGCCATGCTATGCTTAACAGTGCAGAAATATGTATTGCACATTTTTCTAATGACCTCCAATGCTAAAATCAGGTTATCAGAGCCCCTTGTCCTCAACACTTAAGAGTACCTTAGCCATAAAAGGCTCTGAAGTGATTGCAGCACTGCAGTTTCTCTCTAATATCTTTTCTGCTATTATTTCACTGCTTATCATTCTTGATTAGAATGATAATCAAATTACGGCTTGTGCACCGTAATTTTACTTCTGGTTTATTTTTGTTTTTCATTTCTGTAGTTTGTGACAAGTGTGAACTGCACTTTATATTTAAGAAAAAAAAACTAACTTGAATAAAAAAAATGTACACTGCCACATGTACAAAAGTATTGGGACAGCACAGTCAAAACTTTTGTTTTATAGCCTTTTAATTTGAATTAGTTGAATTTTGCTCTAGTATCATCAACTGCATAAATAGAATTACCCAAAATGTAGTGTATATAATATGGTACTTATTCATAATAATCTTATGAAACAAATCCAGTATGCTTGACTATAAAGCAGAAATAGGTTTTGACTTTGACCCTGCTCTCCCACTACTTTTCCAGGGTGCTGAACATTTTTCATTTCATGAACAGATCACAGAGTGCTTTACAAAGGAACACAAAGTAAGAGTACAAACCTGCACATTTTGTCAAACTAAGCTCCATCCTGGTGAGATGTCTGACTTCCGTTGCCCTCTGAATACAGAAGCATAGACACCAAAACATGCTTTCCTTAGTTTTTCATTTTAAAATTGATTTATTGTTTCCATTAATTTCCTAAATTGTGATATTTAGATGAAGATAGAAAGCAATGGCAAATTCATTTTTCCTCATTTATCCAAACACAGCCGAGCAATATTCTTTAAGCAGCACCCTGGGATGTGAAATAGATTATATCTTGTCTGGGTCTTGATCAAGCTTGAAATGTTCAGGTTGCACGTTGATATCCGCTTCATTAGGAATCTCCTCTGTGGTTTATGGCTCAAGGAAATGGTTTGGATTCCTGGCAACGATGAAATGTTCTAGTGGGATAAAACCACAAGCTCAGCTGTTATAGTGGAGGTGCCAGGCTGGTAGGAAGATGACAAGACATCACACATTGGATTTACTTGCAGAAAAAAGAGCAGACAGTCAAGTTCTGTCTATGGACGTGCCTTTTAGTTAAAGATTGATGTCAGAGTGCTTATTGATTGGGAAAGGCCTTCTGATAAAAATAAATTTGTAATTACAGGGATCAGATCATTTTAAATGAAATTGTGGTGATTATAAAAGTAAAATTACAAGCATCTCAATCAACAGCAGTGATATTTGTCCTCTACTCTGCTGTACATTTGCATTACCCTGATGATAAAAATACATACTTACTGCAATAAGCAGAAGTGTTAAATAATTTTGAAGAGAACATGAACATGTAATCTGTATACAGAAAAAAAAATCCCCTTTGGAAAACATATTTCGTGACAAAACTAGAATTTCCCCAAGAATGTTACCCCTTAGTGTGCAGATTATTAGTTTTTGCCAGAGGGTGTTAAGGAAGGTTGGAAAAAACTTTGGTTAAAGCATGTCTTTTAGTTCCCCTGATTGTGCACCTTATGGGGATAATTCTAAGTAATATTCTCATCTTATTTTTACATGGATAATTGTTTTAAGTCAGTTAATCTAACTAACTCTAATGATGCATTAACGTAATAATTTATTATTCAATCAGACCCTACCATTATGTGATTACTGAAGTGTCACTGCACTGCTCATTACCTTATAGTCTACTATTTATTGATGATTTTGGAAATTAACATAAAAAGAAGGTAAAAAGATAACAAGAATTTCTCAAGCATGGTTTTCCAAGTTTTAGGAGGTAAAATTCCTTATTTTGTTCAAATAATTTAGGAGCTACCTCATAGAACAATATGACTCCCTTAGAAAACTGCTTTCTTGGGAAGTGTAATTGTCTCATTTGATAAACTGTTTAAGCAAACAGTTGAGTTAGAATGAAAAGAATTGTTTGAACAGCACAACTCTGAGGGTCCCTCTAAGCAAGGACTACCACAGTTTGGTTTAGGGTAGGTTGTTTGACGAAGTCCGAAGTACAATACTTTGATAGAAAAAAGTGCAGGACAAAAATTCAAAATGTCTTTTAGACATGCAATTGATTGTGAGGGGGCTTCTTATATTAAAATGCTGTCCTGTCAGCTTTTCTATATGCAAGGATTTGACCAGTTCTGTGTTCATGTGGAACTGTTATGTAATGTAGCCTGTTTCCATTAAACTGCCTTCAAGCTGTCATTCATTACATCCCTTTATATTCCGGTATGTTTCATCTGTCCACAGCTCACCACACATCTGCTTCTCATCAGTACCAAAAAGTCCATTTTGAGAGGTGTAATTTCACAGATTTTGCACTATTTTTTTCCAAAGAGGAGAGTTTCTGAAGTGTTCAGAAGCATTTAGAAAAAACATTTCTAAATGTTTTAGAAAGGTGGTGTTATGTTACGTTAAATTAGATTAAAGAGTTGCCATGTTTTAAACAAATATGTGCTCACAATTACCTTAAATGCCTGGGACTTTCTGTATTGTATTAGTAATTTAAATATACTTTGAGGTCTGGTCAATACAAAGTGAGTTCCAGTTACTCTCTGAAGCACACTTACTTTTCAGCTTGATATTAGCTCTATTCTGAATATATACTAGGCTTCAGAAGAAACTTATCAATTATAACAAATTCATAAGGTTATTCTTAAAGTGGCAATCGTATCTCAACTATCATTGGATGCAGTGCAACCTGTAAATTGGAAATGCATGTTTTGCACCAGGTTGCAGATGCTGTCTTCTCAAATTATGTCCCATTTGCCTCATAGGGGTCTAGACAAGCATGTTCCTATTTGCTGGTGTATGAGCCCTCGGTGCAACACATCACAGCTCAATGGAGACATTCAGTGAGGCTGACGTTTGATGAGTAGGGCATCCACAGCATCACTATCATATTCTAATCGCTCAGGAAAGCTGATGTTAAATGAGCAGCACAGGGATGTGTCTTGTCCTGCTGAAATGTTGACACATCAAGGCTTTGTTCTCATGACAAGCAGGGTATACTGGTGCCTTTCTGTGTTTTCTTTTCAGATTTATTGCAACAAATCCTATCATCATTGACTCCTTGCCCAATTAATTGCATTGCTAATGATGTTGCAAAGTTACATAAATAGGCAGTCATGGTTAATCAATTAATCAGAATATCAAAAACATTTAATAAATATCCCATATAAAAAATACTTACTTTTTGAGAAAAAAAAATGAATGTGCATAAATTCAGTGATAGGTTTCTTTTCATGCTCAGTATACAATGGTGCCTCGTAAATAAAAATAAAAATTTTCAATAAAAATTGAAAAAATATGATCTACCGCTCAAATTCATGAACAGCGCCTCTTAGATGCTGTCTTCAGTTGTAGTAAATTTAAATTGTTACCATTGTACTCCATTTGATTAATTACCTCAGACAGTCTTATACATAATTAAAATGGTTTAAAGATCCCGACATACATTGATTTTTTTAAAGCGGTATCTAAGTAAGATTTTTATGTAAGCTGTAAGTACTTCTGCATTGGTGCAGAATGTTTTACTGCTGTTCTTCTCAACATTTGTCAAATTACGGCGACTGCTAATTGTTAGTTTCCAAATCCAGGATAACAATTAGCAACATGCAGCATGTTGTGCAGCACTTATTGACCTATCAATATTTATGCTTTTTAAGCAACACACTTCAGAGTCAGTTCTTGGCACTTAATTAAAGCAGCAATTATATTCATAATGTCTTCCAGTCTGCCAGTCTTAATTTGACAATTTTCTGTGCCTTCCCACTTCCAGAGCACAACATATGTTCCGGCAAGCCATGCGTTCACCTGTCATTTTGTTCCATGTGGTCCCAGCAGCAAAGAAAGTACAGTATGAGCAGCTCTCTCAGAGCGAGAAAAATCCGGCCTATATGCATGGCCGGTTCAGTCCAGAGTCCCAGGCTAGCGAGCGAGGAAGCCTGGTGGTGGGGCTGGACCACACGCCCCACAGGGTGTCAAGGGCTGGGGCCCACGTGGAACAGGCAGAGTTCTATTCACCGCTACCTCACAATGCCGGCTCTACCGGGAAACCACCCTCCGGCATGACCCCGTCCCCCCAGAGGGTGCTCAGCTCCACGCCCACGACGGGCTACACCAAGAAGGTTGGGAGGAGGCTCAACATCCAGCTGAAGAAAGGTAAGGCAAAGAGCCAAGAGCTGAGGTCATCATGAACTGGTCCCGTTGAGGTAGAGCTTTTCATTACAGGGTGCCGGCAGAGGGCAGGGAAACCCAGTTCATCCACAAGCATCGAGCATGAGTCATGCTCAAGCAGCCCACTACACAACAGACCTGGTGGAGAAGTGAGAGGTTATTATACTAGTTGAATTATAGGGATAAGTTGATCAATCAGCATGAATCCCACTTATTTTTCTGTCCAGTAACACCTTTTCCCCCTTTTCTTTTTTTAAAAACAGGTTACACAAACTGCTGTATCTCCCCTTGGTCATAACCTCAGTCATACAAGTGTATTTTCTCTGTGAAGCAGAGTAATGGTGTTGTCCAGCTTCAGTTACTTGAGGAAACCAGCTGTGCTTATTTTAAAGTCTGCCCTAACAACCCTGTATAAACCACTTACAGTATATGCTCTAACAGTGCTATAGGACTGACCACACAATAAAGTGGCATTTAGTGAAAGTTCATTAGTGATTTATAGTATGATGTACAGCTTAAGCACATAACCTCGACTGTAATTTATAATCACCAGTTGCTTTTCTTTTTTAAAACCACCAATTATGTATTAATTAAGCAATTGGCAATTAAATCTGTTTACTGAAACACCCCGTGACCAATACATGAGGGCTGAGGGCCATGCATGCCTTCCTGAAGTAAACAACACAGTTTAAAATATTGTATTGCAGTTAAAATTATTACATGATATAGATTTGAATAGACTAATCTGTTGTCAGTTTATATCCTGTAGGCTCATGTACGGGGAAATAAAAGTAAAATCTATGAATCTGAGAAAACCAAGTGTGAATTTATTTATAGTAGTAAAAAGACAAATTACAACAGTTAACAGCAATGATATCAATGTCTTGATATTGTATATTGTAAATTTTTCAATATCTAATTAGTGTATACTGGCACTTCATTTAGATGTGTTGGTTAAAGGCACAGATTCCTCTGTTTATAGCTGGTGTAAGAATCAAATGTTAAGTTGTCGCAAGTAGGTACATTTTGTTAAACTAAATTGTACATCTCAGACTTGTATTTAATCAGGAACAATATCTCTTGTGAGGAGCATGATGCTTTCAGGAATTTGCTGTTCAGCTAGTCTTGTTTTGTTACTTCTTTAATGGTAGCACAAATTTTGTAAAGATTGTCTCATTCAAAATATTTGTTCAGTGAACAAATGCATTAAAAGTTTTTTAGGGAACACATAATATCTGTTCCTTCCAAAACTAAACCGGTTTACATGAGTAGTGAAATCAAAAATTAAAAATGGACAATTATACCATTGACTGTATAGTCTGTATAACTGCTTGGGCAGATATGAATTTAAATATGCAGTAGTTGTCTAGCAGAAAAAAAATCAGTATTGAATTTTGTCACTGTTAAGAAATACCTTAGGGAATAAAATAATAGTGGCTTGGGAAACAAAGTGCCCTTGGGCAATTGTTATATCATATTATAATATTATGCAGCAACAAGAGTTCAGCAGTTTGAGTGCTGTAAAAACACAGGGCAAATCTAGTATTATTTTCCCAACTACAGTCATACTCTTATCCTTTCTTAATTGAAACACCTTCATTAATTACAGAATTACAGAATGTTGGCACATCAAAAATAAATGCAGCTATCTGTAAAATGCAATACGCAATAAAATGAGGAAGAAAATCTAATGTCCACACTTATTGAATTTTAATTGTTTTTGGTCATTGATGTCTAACTGCAGACATTTATTCCCAGTTGTCTGATTTGTGACATATTAGTATTATTTTCAAGCAGAAAAAGAAAGATAAGTATCAGGTTCCCATACATTTCCCATTGTGATCCATTACAATGTCTTCTGATGATACTCTAACAAGCATTACATTGGTTAACTGTTACAACTGCTTACGATGGCATTGTCAACCTTTTTTAATATCACTCTTTAAAATTGATCACATGATCTTTTCACTACTTCAGAAATGACCTGAAGTCATAGACAAATGTATTTTCAGTTTTTCGTCATTATCAGCATAAAGAGAGAGTTCTTGATTTTCATTTTGGAAGTCCATCATACTTTGCCATGGTTGGAATGGTTTCTGCCAACACGGCAACACCCAGTGTGCCCGGGCATTCCTAGTTTCATCACCTCTTTTGTGTGTGGATTTAACTCTCTTGAGAACAGACACTTTCTCATATAATGTATTTATTGATTAGTTCATGTGTTGCGAAGAAACTATTCTGTTTCCAAAAGACTCTAAGGGGGTATTGAGGCAGTATTTTCCTATGAAATTAATATGAGAGCCTTAATCAAATAATGATGCTTAAAGAAGTCATTCCATTTAGAACTAAAAAGTACAATACATTGGAACATTGTGTGTTTCTTTATAGTGGGTATTTAACTGGCTTATTGGCGCCAGGATCAGCTAATATCCTAAACTGGATACAGTTGCTTTTATCCTTTGCCTGCATTACCAAAAAGGGAGTAAGACTTTTGTAATTAGGTAATGCTAGACCATTAGAGATGCATTTTTCTAATTACCTAATTCTAGACCATTAGAGATGGAATCTTGTAATGTGATAGAGTTTGATTCTGGTAATTAACTAATTCAAATAAAGACTCGAGAAGCAATATATTCCAGGGTAAATCGTCTTTGCCTTTTTGTAAATGCATATCCAATAAACAAAATCTCAATATGGATTTTTAAAGCAGAGATGCTTCTTTATACTATTTTATAAATTACACGTGGAAAAGGCTATGCTTTCTTCAGATTCTGTGCCATTATTTCCATTTGACATAACTGTGCTAAATTAAATTTGTCATTTACCTCAACATTTTTTAATCATGTTAGATTAACTTTTTCTGATTGGTTAGATTTATAAGCGGATATTTGTGAACCTGTGTGTGTCAATATGAACAGTACATGACATATGAACATAAATGGAAATGGTTTTTGGTATCATTATATTCATCACTAAGTAGAATGAAGTTTCATTTTTTCATTGTTGATTGCATATGCGGTTTTAATGCCAAATAGAGACGTAAAAACTAGTTAATATTAAAAATGAGAAAATAATTTAATTTGAAAAAGTGACAAAATACGCTTTTAATAACACGTATACAGTATATTGTGTATTTTTATCCTAAACCACTGTATTTTACTAGTCATTTCACACTAAGGAGGGTATTGTATAAGCAGTTGGTGGCCTCAACTCAATGAGAATTGAGAATTCCCTTTGACTAGCCAAAGGCATATTCATGCTTAATCTTAGTATAGTTTCTTTACCTCATACAGTAACTATATTCTTAAAAACATTTAGCTAAGATTGTATCCTATGCATTTGCAATATGTTATATCTCCATACATGGTTTCAAGTGAAACCGCAGTACTATTCAATTCAATTTATTTTTATTTAACAACAAGGTTGCCCCCAGAGGTGCTTAATACTATTTTTGTATTTTGGGGTGAGAAAGAATCAGCATTGATGAGGACATTTAAACCACAACAGAAGTAAAATGTACACAGTGACTAGTAAAACCTCCAATTTACATCACAAAATAGACAAGATGTCCAGGTACAGTACGTGCAGTGCCATATTGCTGGCTTTGTCTTAAGAACGAGGCAACAAAAAATTCAGTTAGTTGAAGAAGCCCCCTTACATAGTAATTAAGCAAGCTTGTTCTGTAAATGTAGTACATCTGTTTTAGTGAATGAATTTATTTTGCTAGTGAGATTTAATAACCGGTCTGAGAGATTGGGGCTGCAGATCTCCTTTAATAGAAGTGCTTTATATCCAGCTTTAATGTGCACCATAACTGGATGTTAATGCAGGTGTATAGTGATTATTGTGGAACTGGAACCAATATTTATTTTGCAGATGCCTTGGATCACAGGGGAGTAATTGACATCACTATAATAAGAGAAAGTTCATGAACTTAATTTCTATCAGCTTGTTTACTTGAGATATCCATCAGACAGACTGATTTGTTTAAAAATATAGGGGCTGTCTGTATTTATTTTAATTTCTGTGTTTAAGAATGGGGTTGAATCACTTGCTTTAAATTAATTTCCAATGACAAATGACAAAGCATTTTGTTCTTAACTACAACACCCATCTTTCCCTAATGTTGCATTACTGTATGTAGTGGAAAATATGTAATTGGTCCCGAGATAAGGTCAAAAATGCACTTTTTTTTAGCCATCACTGTGTTGTCTGCTCTTTCCCATTGGCAATTGATATAAATTTGCTTTTCCAAAAAGGTCATTTTCTGGACTTAGAGCAAATTGCTTTGCAAAACTAATGCTTGAATCCTCTTCTTTGTTTGTCTAGATTTAGATAAGTCATCCACATAGATTCAATAAACTTCAATTTGGCTGAAATAGCTGTGTATCATACCTTCTAATTCCTACTTTTGAGTAAGCTAAAGGGTTTTCATTTCATCTGTCAGACGTGGTCCGATAAGGTAAAATCCCTGGGGTTATGTCCAACAGTAAATCAGTTTATAAAACAGCATCCTAAACTTAAAAAATGTGATGTTGCTTAAAAACAAATTTAAGCCTTCACATTGTGTTACTGTTAGTCATATCTCTGTTATTGCTTATATAGTTTTTAAAAAATAAAACTACGCTATATTTTTTTTAAAGAAAATGATAGTCCAGTAGGTAAATATCAGTAGTTTGTATTTTATCTCTTTTTTAATGTTTAACCGTATACATTTTCCTTTAGAAGAAGTTTTTTTAAAAGTGAATCCAGAAATCTTCTGCTAAAAGGAAGAATTACCTGAAATAAAAAAAATATATATATACTGTGCTGCCTCCTGACTATGCAGTGGAATGTTGAAGAGTAGGATGTGGTGAAAATGTAAATGTCGGAATGAAAGGTAATGAGAAATCATGAATAAATGTTTATTTCTTTCAAATCAATATCAATTGAATGTGCTTCTGGGCCTGTATGTACAGTAAACTGTTGGCACATGTGAATAAACATCCTTTTCTAAACCATATACAGTACCCTTTATACTGTTCTAAACCTTATATTTGTTTTTAAAGAATTATGACTTAATTTAAACTACAGATCACAAAGTTATACACAGTTACGAACATGTAGCCATATATAAGCAATAAAAAGGATATTTGGTGTTTTATTCCCCACATTACAGGTCCAGAAGGTCTGGGATTCAGCATCACCTCCCGTGATGTTCCAATTGGGGGAACGGCACCAATTTATGTGAAAAACATCCTTCCTCGTGGGGCTGCAATTCAAGATGGACGATTAAAAGCAGGAGACAGGCTTCTAGAGGTGAGAGGGGACTTGATGCACGTAATCACAATCCTCCAAGGCATTGCCAAAGTTAACCCTGTGGACATACTGTACAGTATTCTGAATCAACAGTGAAACACAAGCCAGAGGACACAAGAGGAAACTAGGGGAAAGTGCACTTCAAAATGAGAACTGTAGGCTCTTGCCTTCACAAAGTTGTAACCATTTGGAATGAGCTGCCGAACCATGTTGATGAAACCAGTAACCTGGCTTTTTTAAATACTCCGAACTCAAATCAGTTAACTGCTGAAAAGGCACAAACGAGCTAGATAGCTTAATGGCTTCTTCTCCTTTGTACCCTTTCTAATCTTCTCATGAAGAAGGGATTGAGAAAGGAACCTTTTTTATATCAGCTATTTCCTTTTCTATAGGCAACTGCCATAGTTTTCCTTAAAGTTTCCCCAGATTTTTATTTTCAAACCAGGGGCCCAGGTCCTTGATGAATCCCAGCCTTTTCTTCTCTACAGGAAGCATTACAATGGTGGTTTCCTTACCTAAAGTATGGCATTCAGGATTTCCTTGCTCTGTACATTATTCCCGGGACTTCCTCATTTAATACATTCAGCCGTGCCACTAAGATTCCATTGACCATTGTTTTTTATTTGTAAAATTTGATATGAAGTTTCATTGAACCTCATGAGAAAGCCCATATTGCTGCCAAACAAGAAGGCAAAAATAAAGGAACAATGCAAAATTGATGAATACTAACAAGATGTGAACACCACCTGCTTTTCCAAAAGCCGGTGCCAATGGGTTTTACAAATCTGGACGCAGTGAGTAAAAACCAAACAGGCTCAACATTAAACATTAAACTGTGGTTTGAATTACTCGCCTGCAAAAAAGATGTTGAATGTGTTTTTTCCTGTGATATGATTTTTAGATTAAAGTATTTCCAAAGCAGTCCATGGGATTTTGCAAACCACCTTTGCGATGCATATATAACGAGAAACTAGCAAAGTTGTGTAGCCATATGTAGTTTTTCTTCAAAACAAATACTATTGTGTTGCAACTTAGTGTTGCAGAGGCATGGGAACAGTTAGCAGACGTCTTGCTTTTGTTCTCAGCACACCAAGATTATGAAGAAATGAAACCAAACAATTTGCAATGTGCACAAATTGTGCAATGTGGAACACAGACAAAGTGTGTTTTGTTTGGCAATTTGTTCAGTCTTTCTGCAGCTGTGAAATTCTCATGCCATATGCAGGAGTCAAGGAAGAAAAGCAACTGAGAATGAGAATTTCCAAATAAATGGTTCCATAAGAATCAGAAGAATTATTTACTCTATTTGCTATATTGAATTTTTGTGCACCGCCAACCCATTTCCTAGAAGAGTACTTTCAAATAGTTAGTTCTTTATAAAATAGATTATAACATTTGAGGTTGAATCACAATAGATTTTTATCTTGATGTATGATATGGCACTTTCTAGTTATCTATGATATGACCGTTCATAAGCTCATATTTTTATAGTCCCTTAAGATAACTAGACAGTGCTATATCATAACATACACGGACGAGAACCTAAAAATTATCAACATTTCCGAACAGCATTTTGCACTATCCCTTACGTTCACTACAGATAATACAAGATGTTATTGATGCCCTGTTTGTACCTATACTGTATATGAGCTGTTAAGAGACTGCAGTCCCAAAGTAGGTTTAATACTGTTGGAATAATCATGTGGTCCAGCATGCGGCTGCATGTTCTTGTACTGAAGGCAGTCACACAGCTGGTGTGTGGTGTCTTTTCCGTCTGACCAGGTGAATGGAGTGGACTTGAATGGGAAAACTCAGGAGGAAGCGGTGGCTCTGCTCAGGGGCACACAGATGGGGGGCACGGTTGGCTTGGTGGTCCTTCGGCAAGAAGACACTTTTCTACCCCGGGAAGTGGTGAGTTCCAGCTCTCTGTGTTTCTGTGACTGTGGAAGTGGCATATTGTGAGGCAGGGTGTGAGGGGAAGGGCGTGCTGTCCATATCTGGCCCCATTCTGTTTTCGAGGGAGGCATAGGAGACAGGAAGGGGCTTTGGGCCTTCTTGGGTAGGTTTGTTTACATTAGACAACACAGATTTAGGCCTCGCCAAGCACAGGAGAGAATGAGAACATTTGCTTCAGGGAGAAGCTGGAAGCTGAGATTAAACAGAAGACTTGATAAAAGATCCCTGCAACAGGGCTGCCTTGTCTACGAATTCAAAACATTCAAGGGCACAGAGTATCTTATATTGAAGAACATGGATGCTCAGTATAAGGTGTTATTATTGCTATAAAAATAAGTTCTGATTTTTAAATCCAGTTCTTCTCACTCTGGATTTTGAGTGACATCCACAGCAACAACACACCATGGTTGGAACTGTGCTTGGAAGGCTCCCTCTCTTTATTGATAGGTGTCCAAGCGCATGCCCCTTTAAACTGGCAGACGCCTTTGCTGACACCACAGACCATCTGAATACCAGTGTTTGGCTAATGGTGGAAGCTTTGACTTAAATGGTCTGATCTCAGTGTTTCACGTCTTCAGTGAGGCAGGAAGGCCTTTAGCCATTTTCATATGGTGCTGTTCCTGGACTTGTAAGGAACACTACAAGTTTATCATATGCCTGTCCATACCTTTTCTCCTTTACATGCACATTTCCTCCCCTCCCTTCCCACCCAGTTAATTACAAATGAGAATAGCATTGTATGAGGTAGTGTTACTTGTTTTGAAGGGGGTTGTCTGTTGGCAGTACTGACTCTTTTGAGAATGAATATGTGATTTCTGTGCTGGGTCAGTCTGCTGTCTTGGGAGGTTACCAGAAGGCACAGACACCAGCTGCAAGGAGATTTGGTCCAGTAAGCAGGATGTGCCAGTGAAATAGTCGGATGCCTCTAGAATAATGAAGAAACACTCCGAATTGTTAAAATGTGTTACGAATTTGTTGAACTGAAAAAACAAATTTGATCATTTTTCTTTAAAGCAATTTCTAAGAATTGGAGACGGCAATAAAAATCATGAAAGAGTTATCACTAAAGATTTCAATTAGGCTATACCATACAGTTTTCATTAGATAAACACCACTAACTTTACAGCAAATTATTTGTATTTTATTCCTAAATTTAAGATTTACATAAGCCTAATGTGCAAATGTAAAACATATAGGGGATATGAAAGTGCATTTTATGCTCTTAGCAGCAAACTAAATCAAAATCAGAGTTTAAAACCATGACAGGAGAATGAATATTGTAATTTGTCATATGTATTTTCACTGTTTCCAACTAAAGATTGTAGAATGCAGATTCATTTCTCTTTCTGTAATATTAACATACATGAGTGCTTCTTTCAGCACTGACTTTGGAATTAAGGGATCTCAATAATCCATTTGAGGGTGTTCATGAAATCAGATTACCGGGGCATTCCTCTGACAGTGACAGTTATTGCAAATAAACTATAGCGGGGATTGGGATATAATGCACATACACCAGAGCGTTATTGCCTAGCTGTCATATTCTTATAGGCTTGCCATTGCTATTAGTGCATTATCAGGGTTTATTTGCAGCAGCTTTAAATCAAAACCTGGATGACACTCTATATTATAAAAGGTTTGATATTGTCACAGACATGAAGAATCATATTTTGAGCGGGGCAGCAGGAAATACATCATTTGTATTTATTCGTCAGCTGGGGTTACAGACCTCATGTCTTACGACAGGAATGTGCTGTAGGTCAGCACGGCGGTGAGGCAATTGGTGCGGGTTTGGTACCAGCTCTGCTTGCACTTCTGTGTGGAGTTTGCATGTGCTCCTCGGGTTCATGTGGCTTTCTGGGAGACATGCTGGTTCCTCTTGCCTTCCAAGGTCATGAGGTTTACCTCGATTAAACTTCTCCAGGCAGTCCCTTTTGGGGAAGGGGAAACGGGAAGCTTTTGTGGTGTCACAAATTATGATGTGATAATTGGTTGTGTGTCTGAAACACAACCAGGTGAGCATGATTGATTGAAAAGCCTCCTCTTGTTTGTAGCTATTTTGGTTTGGAACTTTGAATTTTTTTTGGCCACCTCAAAAAGTCAGGTGTTTGTAAAGTAAACTATGGTTATTGATTAATATTTTTACTAGGCATTTGCTGTTTATTTTGTTTAAACCAGACTCAGTATGTTTAAACTTGAATAAATATTAGTCCTTATATGTCATAAAACAGGGTTAATCTATCTCAGCGGTTTCCAGACTGTACTTGTTTTTCTAAGCCTACTGTAGGAGATTTACAGTCTTGAGTTATACCATGGGAATAAAAGACATTTTCAAAGTCTAGTCAAAGTGATGCAACGGAACAGATCCAGTGGCTTATTGATAGCAGTGTCAGAAGTAACCTTTACTCAACAGTGTCAGATTCAGGAATGACTAACTAATGTGGATGACCTATACCTCCCCCATCACCTGCCCAGAAATAAAAAAAGTTAAAATTGAGGTTTAACACACTTCTCAGGAGATTCAAGAATTTAAATCAATGAGGCAGTGCCCTTCACCTTCTCAATCTATATTTAAACTCCAGTGAATAAGCAGCCCAGAGTGATAAGTGAACTGAGTTACAGCAGAATTAGATTAGTCCCAGAGGGGCGTGACTTTGTGACATGAAGATGTCAGAGTGTGTCAGGCTCTCCTCTTGGAAAAAGGTGGAAGCAGGTTAAAATGGTGAGGATGAGATGACGTAGGCCTAATTCAAAACATGTCTGATGGCTAGGAACCCAGTTACAGGTTTCGGGAAAAAAAGGAGCTGCTGCATGGATGAATGAATGAAATAGTAACAAAACACATCAAGTTGCAGTGTCACTGAATATTGTTCACTGACAATTAAAGTTAGTGTTCATTGCTCTAAAATGCATTATTGCATGTTTCTGGTTACACTACAACACATGCTTTGTGTATTATATTTTTTCCGTGTAGCCATTGTGGTGTCAGTTTGTTGTGCAGTTTTGTAAATATTTCATTTCACACGAGTATACTGTAGTAATTTGCTCAGACATGTTTTTAAATTTTGTGCAAACTTATTTGTGACATTATAATGGTGTGACGGTTAGCATTTCTGCCTCACAGCTCTTGTTTCCTGTGTTCAGATTCTGGATGGAGGTGCCTCCAGTGTGGAATTTTCATGTTTACCTGGGTGTAGCGGGTTCCTCCTAACAAACACTAGCTAGGTTAATTGGTGTCCTAAGGTGTCCCTGTGTGCATGTGTGGGTTCTCCCTGTGATGAACTTGTCCAGGATATAGTCCCTCCATCCACCAATGCTTCTGGCATAGCCCCCAGGTTTCCCCAACCCCTTCCAGGAATAAATGTCTTCCTGATACCTGCTAACGGTTGGATGGATCATTGCTTGAGAGGTCAGACAGTACTTGAGGTATAGCTGGTCCATAATTTTGTGAATTCCTACTTTAAAAACGTAAGATCTATCTGGATCACTATCAAGAAATGTAAAATGAGGAAATGATGTGGGGGAAAAATAAGATTCCCACTTGGCCAGGAAAGAAGAATAAATATCTCAGGGAGAGGTATGACCTGCTCTTGATGAAACCATAGCAACATGAGGATACAGGACCCCTTGAAGAACGCAAATAATTCATAGCTCATAGGTAATTACTGAAATGGTAATAATAGCAGTAATGGGAACTACACTGTGAATATGTAAAAAAAACAACAACTGACAACCATACTGTTGTTTGAGTTCCAACATGTTAAAATGGATAGCCAAACATTTGTCATTGTGGTGTAATTTATTGTCATGTTTCTGTTCTGTCAGAGTGCCGAGTGATCTGTGGCTGTTTGCTGCCAGCTGCTTAGTGATACAGGGACTACATTTTATGTTCTTAAGGACAATAAATAACATGAAGTTATGGTTTACGGGCCATGTGGACTAAAAATGAATAACTACTGTACATACCTTAAAAGATGCATGAGCGACGGTTTATAATAAGAATTGCCCTTTTTACATAACCTTTGGAGTTACACCCAGAACTGGAGCCAAGTTAGTCTTCTAACCACTATATTTGGCTCTCACAAGTGTTTTACTCTTTTTTTTTATCTTTTCATAAGTGTACATAAAGTATCTTGAGATATTTTTCACATGGGATGTTTACAGTTTTAAGTACCCTGTGTTACTCCCTTTGACATTCATTGGTTTTCACAGAAGTCCAAACTGGTTAGTTAGGTAGCTTGCATTGCTTTTGTTCCTGTTTTATTTTATTTATTTTTTTCCACCTTTTCTAGAATGCAGACCCCATTCAGATGCACAGTCCCAGAGATTTGGTAAGAGTCCTTTTCCCTTTGCATCCCACCCTTAAAGAGAACTAAAAATAACATTCTCCTACACACTCTTGTGACTTTTCATTATCATTTGAGAAATGACAAAAACCAATATGTGTGATAGTGGTTTCACAGACATGAGCATATTAAAGAAACTAAACTGAAAATTTTAATGAGCTTTGCAATAAAAAGAGACTTTGGAGTCAGGTAGCCACTTTCCCTGTCACAAAAAGAGACTGCTGCACTTTAATTGCCTACTCTCTGCGTTCTTTGATAGATATTTACAGAAGTAAGTGACAGTTTTTTTTTTCATGTGCTGCAATCCATGTAATGAAATTGGGGTTATTGCAATCCTTTTGCATCGTTTTCAGTTCCTATTTACAGGCTCAAGAGTTTAAATTTATACAACAGCTCTTCAAATAATATGTTGTTGTTTCAGTTCAGTTTCAGCCCCAAAGAATGTATTTTTTTTACTTTTAAAAAAACATTTATGCAGTGAACCAGAACGGCTGACCAATTGGACTATTGTATTCAACCTCATCTTGGGAAAGGTTTTGAAATAGTATATATATTTTTATCAGTTTGTTATAATGCAAAGCTGCTATTTGAGCAAACTGTGTGCTGTGATGCGCAGTAGCTAATTATATTTGCGTTAAGAAACATTTCCTGTTTTAGATTATTTGGTTCCTTTTCTGTAGTAGTTAGGTCTCTGTGAGTACAGGGGTGTTCTTGTGAAAATCCACTGCCATATTTCCCTCAGGTTATTGTAGATTATCCAGCTCAGTGGATATACATATATGTTTTGAGTCTGAAAATGAGTACTGCACAAAGCCTCAAAGGATCAAACCCACTTGATGCAGGTGCAATAATTATATATTTATATGTAAGAGTGTTGTAATAACATGGAATGTTTGTATTCCACACAAAGGTAGTTCTCAAATTACACCGTGTGTGCTGTGGGGTCAGAATCTCTTTCCCTCTTCTCTAGTATGCTCAATACTATTCTATTGATATGCTGCATTCAGAAGGCTTTGATCTGTATTGATGTAAAGCACAGCAAGACCTTTTTTGTTGCCTGAAGTCAATGCTGTTCTAGAAAATCTGAATTGACAATGGTTCACCTTCTGAACTTCATAACTCATTTAAGTTGAGTTCATTTCTTATTTAACTTGCTTTGTTTTTTGGACCATTCCCTTAAAATTGTCTTGTCACTCTCCTAAGACATGGAAGTAACCTCTTCTGTTTAATGTAATATCAAAGCTAGAGAGGTCATTTCTTGGGGCTCTTTTGAACACCTCATGATATATTAAATGACATTTGTGAAGTGTTGTCACCTAAGAGAAAACCCACTCAGTAAAGTCTAGAATGAGCATGATGAAAGATGAGCATATTATTTATTTAACATTTTGATAAGGGCTGATCACTGTTCCTGAGAGTGAGCCTTGTTTATTATATGACCCTTTTTAAAATGTTGTTACTGCTGCTCTTTGAGCTCTCATTTTTAATAAGCATTATAAAAACATTTTTTTTCTGCCCATGTCAGCACATAGCTGGCACTTACATACTTAGTTTGCAGTTATTCCATTAAATGATGATGCTATAAAGAGTATTTGATCCACCCAAAATACACTTCATAAACCTTATTAGGAAAGTTCATAACTTTATCGCTTATGTGCTGTTTTTATTTTTATGGTCTCCCTTTTTTTTCCTGAACTGAAGTTATCAGTTATTTGCATAACATATGACAGTTTTTGGTATGTGTATATGTAATCGTCAGAATTTACTGTTTGTGTGTTAGTAGGCCAATACTTCCATGTACAGAATTTTAAAAGGCTCAGATTCATAACAATCTGTGCATCTGCCAAGTGTAATAGTACCATATGTTCTATATTCTTTACAGTTATGCTTATGTTATTAAAGAACCATTTGGAAGTGACTTTTACATTTAAGGCCTCCGTATTTTAATTTTATGATCAGTTTGAGCTTTGCTGTTTTCTGACAGTAAGATGTATGGTTACTGTGTAGAAAAGAAACAATTAAATGCAAGGAAGTATCTATTAGCATAAATGATAACTCCTTGTGTCTTTCTAGCACTTCGATCCAAATGGGTTCCAAAGTAGTTTACATACTTGAAGGGAGGCAGCTTTATCTAATAATGAGGCGCAAGATCAACTGGGTTGGCAAAAGGCAGTAGCCTTATTCTCTTGCAACCCCACTACACGGAAGAAGTGTTTAGTTGCTTCACCAAATTGAGTTAAGGGGGAAATTTAGAAAGATCTGAGTGGTATTTAACCAGGATACTGTGGTAGCACCCCCACCCCAGCTTTGGGATCTTTAATTACCAAGTAGGCATGATCTTAATTTAACATCCCAACTTAAATGTGACACTTCCTACCACACTGTTCTTGGTCACCATCCTGGGACTTTGGTTTGGATCTTCAGTCAGAAGAACGTCATCTACTGGTCCACCACCATCACAAATAGTAGCAGCAGCCTGATATTCTTAGAAGTATGTCGTCCCAGTAAAGATGAGATCAGTCTAAAAGTTCATAATTGTAAGTGGCAGGTAATTTCTTTTAGACTCCAGCACAGGTCATTTTTGGTATTAAAAATGAAGATTTCATGTTGTTAAAATTAAGTTGTAGGATTAAGAAACTGAAAAGATATTTAAATATTACAAGACCAAAATAATTATCTGCAGCATGGACACATTCAGTAGCAAAATACAGGACTTCTAGTTGATTATACCTTTTTTGGTCAAAAATATAAAGCTAAGTATAATGTGAAAAGAATTACCTTGTATCCCCACAATTCTAATCTTGCCCTAAGTAATCATTCTATTGTATATTTTTTAAAGTCACTCACTGAACCTTTCCAATTCATTCTTTTTATAATGTGCACAATTATTCACAGCAGATGTTATCTTTTGTTCAAATGTAGAGTTTTAATCAGTTTTCTAAATACCTCTGACAAAGTCGTGTTTCTCTTTGTGGTGCCAACAGAACCATAACATGTCACTGACTTTCTGGAATGAAAAGCTTTTTATCTGTTAACCACTCCACAGCCAGTAGAGTATTTAGCTAACAGATGGATAGAGCGGTAGGCAAGAGAAGGGCAAAAATAATAATTTGGCACTCTGGGTATATAGTATAAGCAGGCAAAGCGGGTAATGCCATCTTTAGAGACTGTTTAGAAAATCTGGTATTTACTTGACTGAAAAACTGTGAAGTATCATCACTAAAAGTAATAATAATGAAAACTTTGTAGTATTGTATCGTTTACTGCTTGACTTAAATCAAGTAATCACACCCCACAAAACACACATTTTTATATTTTTTTTTTTAACTGACAAGCGTTCGCTATTATTTTGGCATGTAGCAACAGCTGTCCCTGCAGGTGAGGGAAACACTGAATGTAGAAATGAGTTTTTAAAAGAAATCCTTTACTATTAGGAAACTAATAGTAAATTACAGTCAGAATTGTGACATTTTGTTTTGTTGCGCTGAGGTTTAATTGTTGGTTTGAATGTTCCCCTAGCGGCGATCAGTGAGGGAACCGATGTCGGCTGGGGAGGCCCACTGGCTACTGGAGGTACTGTAATCACAGTTCTGAAGTCTGCTGTGGCTGCAGCTCTTTGGCCATTTTGCGCCAGCTGCCACTGGAGTCATGGTAGACTGGGTCTTCATTCCCCCTCATGTGCAACTGTAGTGCGCTTCACCACTTCACTGACTGTGCATGGAAACACGTTTAGAATCTAATAAAATGAGGATACAAAGAATGACAATCAGGTGCTGGTCATCCATGAACGTAAATCAAATATTTCTTGACTTTAATGTCCTTAATTCATGATCTAAAGTTCATTTTGTAATTTCATTTCCTACCCTTTGGAACTGATCAACCTGATATTGTAATAAGAGCAGGAGCTTGCATTGGGAAGCTTGTTTTGCTGTTAGAAAGATTTGATCATCTTTTCTGTGATGATAAAACGTTGTTTAAAAGCAGACTAGATATGAGCTATTTTATTGGTTTATTGGCACTACAAAAAAAAGCTAGAGTTTCCATAGTGTAATGAATGGTTAGCAGGTTAAAGTTTTATGCACAGGTTTTTTTTGGCATGCATTGAATAGTTAGAACATTTAATCATTGTGGTTATTGCAATGACCTGCCTATACTCATTAGAATATAATTATTGTTACTGTTATTGTGTATTTGCTTTGAAAACAATTGATTTCATGCTGAGGCTGTGCCCCAGAACATATTTTTTTATACATTACCAAACTTCTTTAACTTACTAAAAGCTCTTGAGATTTTATATTGTGAATATAACCTGCAGGTGTGATTAAACTGTTTCTTTCAGTGCATGAAAGCTAGAGGCTTGTTTTTTGTGCTTGTTGCAAGGAGAATGAAATAATTTCCTTTCTTCTATTTACAATGTCTTTCAGCAAAAAATAATAAATTAATGCACTAATTGACATACGATTTATTCCAACAGCATGCATATTAACTCTAACTTATGTGCTTTGTCACTTTTAATTCTTCACGTTAATCTTTTCAGATGCACACTGGTAAATAAAGAGTGGGCTGTAAGCCTTTCTGTAAATAAGCAGAAATACAATTAGTCTAAAAAGTACAAATTATACAAAAACACAAACTTTAAAAAGTATTATTTCTGTCTTTGTACATAATGTGTTTAATAACCCTACAGCAAAAGACAGGGTAAATAGGTTTGTAGAGATTTAGTACGTTTATACCTGTCACCTGGCTTGAGTTTCCAGATTATTTGTTACTATTATTTTAATAAATGAACATACCATTGAAAAGTGCTATAGAAGCATGACTGTAGAAGAGATGTACAGGCTTAACAGGAAAGATTGCGATTTTTCGCAACTGGACCATGTTTTGCTTAAAGTGACACTGAGCACTGTTCTGAAAACTTTGAGCTAAGGCACTAATAAGCAGTTCTCGAAGTTCTACATTACACTTGCTACCTTTTTTGAATATCTTGCAGCATCTTCAAATACATTTATTGTGTGGTGAATCTGTTCTTTTCTTAATGTGAAATTGAAACAATTTGGAACTGCATATTACTGACTGAGGTAGTTAAGCTTTTCCTTGACGTTTTGCATTACATTATGTTAATTTCTACAGTTTTCCAGTACTTTTCATGGCAGTTATACCACTGTGTGCTTCAATTTTACGATGACTAGATTAAAATAAATTTACCTTGACCACGAAAATCTGAAATCCATTTCTTTATAGAGTTTGTAGAATTTCCCAGTGAAGCTGGTGTGGTGTGTTTGTTAGCTCATACCTCAAAAGTTTAATTGCACTTGAAATTATGAATCTGCATTCCTCAGAATTACTTAATATTCACAGTTTGTCATCATTTATTGGAAAGAAACAGCATAAAGAAATTCATGTACAATATTTATCATTCATGGGCTTTTTAGCAATTACATCCTTGACTGGTTTCTTTTAGGCTTTTAAATTCATTTTAAATGAACTTAGTGTCGCTGAATCCTGGCTTGTGTGGAATACTTTAAAATGGTGCTAATTGTTTCAGGCATGATGTCCAGAATAATTCAGGGAGGCGTTTTTTTCCCCTCCTTGTCTTCGAAGGCAAGCATATGAAACAATGGTGCACCATTCCGAGTTGTCATTGTATTTCCCTTGTAGTTCCATAAGGATTTTCTTTGTCCTATGAAATTATTAAATTGATCCTTACTCTAGCATAAAGGGTAATCTAGTAATGTGTGAAAAACATAATAGTTATATTTTAATAACTAAGGCCTTTTTCTGGCTTTTTTGTCAGCCCACAGAACTTTTTGAAAAAGGATCAAATCCTCAAAAACATTGGTTTTAATGTAAGAATATCTGAGGGTTTTTTCACTGCTTTGAATCAACCGGTTGGAAAATCAATAATTATAGGAAGATTTACCTTTTAAAGTGTTTTTTAATAGGATGCAAACAATTAGAAATTGGGAACAAACATGTAATTCAGCTTTCCATTAGTTTTGTTTACAGTGCATTAAAGATAACAGATACATATCTTAATATCTTGAAGCATAGCTTCTGAAATACAACTGTATTTCCTATACTGAATCTATGAAGTATTTTTCATGTCACATATTCAATAAATCTGGAAAAAAGAAACAACTCAAAAGAATATTCAGGCCAACTCAAGTGCACTTGAGTTGACTGTACATGAGAAGGAGATATGAGATAGGACTTTTGGCAGTTCCTTACACATGATCAAAATGTGAATTTATTTGACAGCAGTAATCCATGTTAGCGTTCAGCAACTCATGACTGAACATTCTTTAAAACCTCTTTTCAACTGCTTACTGGGACTTCTGCCATGCAACCTGTCTCGCTTGATTTCTGCATAAGTTATTAACTTTATTTTTGTAATGGCTTTTAGTTACCACACCAACTTCTCTGTAAACAGTTGTAAGGATCAAATTTTAATTTGTGCAGTAAATGTATAAGAAAAACATTTGAGTTATAAGGAGGCTTACTTGGAACAATAATTTCGCCTTTTAATGTTTCCCTATTACAATTTGGGTTTCTGTTGTAGAAGTGGGCAGAGAACCAGCTTGAAGTATGCAGAGGTTTGTGTTGGTGTGAACACGATCACATTAATAAGCACCAGTTTAGCACTTAACACAAACTTGAATAATGCCTATAAAGACAGTGTAGTATCAGTGTAAGACTCAATCTACCTATTTCCTCACACTAGTAGGGAAAGAGAAAGTCATTCTCGGAATAGAGATCAATCATGAGAGGTAAAGTAGGTAATATATTTGCCCAAATTCTTCTTGCCCTCCTAAACAGCACATTTCCAGTTTTAAGAAGTTCAGTCGTCATATTTTGGAGCATTGAACACGCAACATTTGTACAACCTAAGAAAAAGGTCAAAGAAAACACACAGCAGTTACATTTTTGTTTAAATATCTAATTTCATGGTGTAGATACTTGGACAAAAAGGCAGACTGTCATGTCTTCATTTCAGAAGCTTTGAAGATTGTTTTAGGACTTCATGCATAGGGGTATACTCTTTTGAAGATCTGCCTAGTTCAATGGTTCATTGCATTTAAATTGGTCTTTAAATACCAGTACTGAAAATTCTTTTCCGTTTACAACATTTTAAGCAAAACATATGGGTATGGTTTTCAATTAGTGTTTTAGTGTTCTTCTGTGTTGGAATTGACTTTCATCACATTTCATAGTGTGACTGAAAGCTATTGCACGCTGCATGTGCACATATTGTACAGCACATTTTCTTTGGGACCTTTGGAAACACCTGTTCTAAATGAACTTCTATGGTCTTTATTTTGGTAGGATTTTGTTTGAATTTGTGATTGAGTAATGTTTTTTTCCATAGTCAAATACCTTTTGACTGCACATCTTATAAAAAATATCTTAAGTTTAAGAGAAGTTTTTTTTGTGTTTTTTTGCAGCATACAACATTCATAAGCAATAATTATTGACTGACACAGTGCAACTATCCCTGGAATATATAAAGCAAGACTGTCACAAAGTCACAAAAATAGATTATCTGCTGTAAAAGATTTTTTTTATTTAAGATGAGCTTCTCTGTCCATCATACCCTTACAAAGACTGCTGTGCTCACAGCCACCACTGCTAACTTTTCTGATGGTGCTGACTCTTTCCCCCTATACAAATCATTCATCATTTCTTCAAACAAATAAAGATCAACTTTAAATGACAGGGGTCAGCTAGCAATGGATTTTATTGCAAATCTCTTTACCGTTCCTTTCCTATAAACATATTCAACAAAGAATAAACCTGAGTTTTGACATGTTTGACTGATTAAACCTTCTACTCCACTTAGTAGTTTGTGATTTAAGTTGCAGATGCATGCTGTCTGGCACATATTTGACAGTACACAGTGTCTGAGCAACAAAAAATTGTTTTTAACCTTTATCTCTTATAATTATTTCTACACCAAAACATTTGAACAGAAACCTATTGAAAGTGTCTGATTTCCAAGCTACATTATACTTTGGATTAAAAAGCTCTATTATATAAATGTCAAAACCTAACATTGCTGGATGATTCTTAAATTGCTGCCAAGCGTTGTCTGAGGTTTATGATAAGAAAGCTTGTAACAATAAAAGCAGTATCGTAATGGTCCATAGAAGACTGCAGAATAAAGATGACAAGGGAATGTGATCTGACAGGTCCTTTGTCTCCTTCACTTTCCCATAGAAAGCAGAAGAGGAGGACCTTGTTCTAACACCTGATGGAACCAGAGAATTTCTGACTTTTGAGATCCCATTGAATGACTCTGGCTCGGCGGGCCTGGGTGTCAGTGTTAAAGGCAACAGGTCAAAGGAGAACCATGCAGACTTGGGCATCTTTGTCAAATCAATTATTAACGGAGGAGCAGCATACAAGGCAAGTCCCCGTAATCTTCTGTTGACATTTTTTAAAAAGTGATACATTTTTTAAAAAGGTTTACAAACTTTCTTCAAGGCTGTTCCGTGTGTAGCACCGCACGTAAAATGTCTCTTTTTAGGTCAAATAGATGAAATGTAAGAAAATGAACAAGGTATGATTATATTGCACATGATCTTCTGTTTCAGCTTCCTTTCACATAGTGCAGTTCAGTAATCCTCTGCCACGGTTTCTTCTGTAGTGGCTTGGAGAGAGAATGCTCTAGACCAGTGGGTCTTAACCTTTCCTGCAGCCTGTACCTGTTTGGTCCTCAGCATGCGGTCTCGCGCCCCTTATCAAAAATCGTTGAAGTAATTGGTGCTTTCAGTGATTCACCTTATTAAAAAATCTAGCATGTTGCACATCCCAAGGTTAAGAACCACTGCAGTAATCATCCCTGTGACTTTCAGCACCACTGTCTCCTCACAATTTAATGGGCATTTCATAGATTTAATTCAAATTGTAGGTACATGTCATTCTAAGTTGTAGTTTTGTTTTCACAGGATGGAAGGCTCAGAGTAAACGACCAACTCATAGCAGTTAACGGAGAGTCGTTGTTGGGAAAGACCAACCAAGACGCCATGGAAACATTGAGAAAGTCGATGTCTGTAGAGGGTAACAAGCGAGGGATGATACAGCTGATAGTTGCAAGAAGAGTTTCCAAACGAAATGAGGTAATAAGAGATTATTGAATATATTACTCACTAATTAGAAACATAATCATGGGTTGTGTAATTGGTTAGCTTCACTTTGGAAGCATGATGTAATTGTTTTTCTATAGGGATTCTCTTGGTAGCTTGTTCAGAGCTCTGGCTATAGAGATGCAAGGATTTGTCTGCTGGGAATGGGAGTGAATCTTTAACCCACCAAGCTTTGCTGAATATTAATTGTATCTTCTTGCTTTGATGCTCTTTGACATGCCTTTCTTCTTAAGGCGCAACTATAAAACCTGTCAAAAGAGGATTTTGAAGAGGTTTTAACTGTACTGCAATGTTAAACTTCTTGTCATGTCTCTATGAAGATTCATTCTGATGTTTTAACAGGTGGCACTTTTAAAATTGATCAAGATCATAAAGGTTGCAGGAAGTTCGTAAAAATCAATGCAAAGTTATAGATAGGAAAATCTGGCAATTGCTCAAAGACAGGGAAATTTGACTTTAAAAGTGAGTTAAACCAGGTGGTTCTTATCAGGAGATTGCAGAGGTGAGAAGGTTGACACTAATTCTTCTCCTGTACTGTCTTCGTAAATGTGTTCTGATAAAGGTTTGCTGTAAGAAATACTGGTTCTAGCCCAATTTTTTGCTGATTAATATGCTTTTATTTTTTGCATTTCTATAAATTCATAAGATCCCCCACTGAACAATTCTACCATTTCTGCTCTTCACTTTGACTATGAATTTGAAGAAATTTAAATTAATTCCTAATTCTAGGGCAATGAGACATAAATGATCAACAGAAAGAGTTTATTTGCCCAGATGTAATGTATAACTGAATATTTAAGTAAAACAAACATTTTGATCCATTTTTGTTTACATTGTTGCACATTTACTGATGCAAACTGATAATACTCTAGGCACATTTACGTTACTTAAGTATGTTTTCACTTGTGAGCAGGTGGCTTTGATTATTTTACTATTATCGTTCCTTCTAAAAACAAAATAATGAGGGTACAAAACAAATTGACTAATAAGCAGCATAATTAACCATTCAATATTATTTTAATGAATGCAAGGTCAGCGAAAGATACTTCTTAATTTGAATCGTCAATGGCTTTTGCCCTGGAACACAGATGATCACCATAGTGGCGTAGATCTGCCGTTCCATCTTATCATTCTGTGTAATTGTTTTCACACTGCACTGGTGGTGGTGCAAGAAATTTCGTGAAACACGTGTTTTAGCAGAATGACTAGTTCACTATCTGCTTAAAGTAATCTGCTTGCTCCTAGGATAAGGATATAACACTGAAAGCTGAGTGACACATTTGTCTTCTGAGGTCCAGAGAAAATCCCAGGTGGTGGCAGAGAAAGCTAGTGCTGGACAAGACAATGCAAAATCATAGTTCTTGGACTACAATGGCATAACTTCAAAAAGCAAGAGCTGTCTCAACAATCCTAATAAAAAGGGATGACCTGGCCTTGTGAACATTCACTCACAGACTACTGCTGTACAGGAAAAGTGATGAAACACTCCATAAATGCAGTCAAGATTGTCAGTTCTTTGGGATACTATACCAGTTTTTTTTTTAACACTGTCATTTTTCATACTGAAAACTTATCATAAGCCAAGAATTTGAAAATTTCCCTGTGACATACAATTAAGCAATAAGATACGAGAGGCCGTGCTATATTGTGGATATAGTCACAGTTCAAAGGTGTTGTTAGGCCGGACGTGAACTGTGACTATACTCACGATATAGCAAAGACCTCAAGTGCCTTATTGCTTTTATAAAACGGTCCCCAAATATGTGATTTCTGTATAGAAAGAATTTTAATTAAAAAATGTATTTAACACGAAAATTAAGCTGTTTACGCCTGAAAATATAGTCTCTCGTTGCTGCGCAACCCAGAAACACGGCCATAAGTAACATTTAACTAACAGAGAGAGGACATTAGCTAGCCAATATGATAAAGGAATAAATGGCTTATTTTTTGTTTATTTCTTTAGCACATTTATTTGAACTTTTCCATTGATCGTACAAGCATTGAAAAACTGTCCAATCCCTAGTTCGTCAGGCATTTTCTTATTTGCTGCGGGAGTGTTCCCACTGGTGCTGGTCTAAGTGCCTGCCAGGATATCACTCCAGTGCTTTGTCATTAAAATTGGGTTTCCAATAACGCCGTAGCGAGCTCTCGTTTTTATGTCCACTATAACAGACATAATCTCCCTTGCTTTTAACCGAGCGTTTGATCATTTTATAAGAATGAAAATGATTTAAACTATCCGACCTTATCATTCAACGAGAGCACAAAAAACAGTGCAGCAAAGACAGCAGAAGAAGACACATGTATCAACTACCTGAGAATCCAAGCCTTTTTATCTAAACTAAGAAGTAATCTTTAGAAGCCTATGCGATGTATTTAATTGACCGTTATTTATCAGTTAGCACATTGATATTTCTTTATCACTCAGTAAAAAGTCAAAATTCCTTCCGGGATGTGCGTATATCGGAGAATATAGCACGGCTTCGAAAACGTATCAGCCAATCGGATTTCAGGACAGGAACTATCCGTTTGATAAAATATTATAATTCCATAGGTAAAATAAACAGGATTAAACAAATGGTGTGTATCATCTTGACCTGCTTACAGGTTTGCTCCCTGCAGTCAGGTTCTCTGATTTCTCAGTCAGTTGCTGGTTAAGCTAACTGATGCTCAGACTGCTAACAGGTGCCATATTGCCGCTTGCACATGGAAAATGAAGCATATATGCATGCAGTGTCTTAAGCTGTTGTGTCCTGGGCATTTTGCCAGCTTTCATACTTAGTGAAAAAATAATCCACATTTAATTGACAAAAGTGAGAAAACTGCTATGTTGCTGTTTGTAAAACCCTCATGTATTTCAATCTGGCCATAAGAGAAATATTTTTATTACAAATGTTTAAGGGCATTTTTGTTTTTGGCAAAAAAATTGTACAATCTTTCTACCATTTAAAGTGCTTAAGCTTTTATTGTTTTCTAGGGTCAAAAACGAATATAATTAATTAATTCATGTATGAAGTGGTTATAACGTTCAGTGTTGTCTTAAAGTTGACTGTACACCTTTATTTCATGAGACGCAACTAGACAATTTGGCATATATACTCCATACTGTATATACTCCAGAGTCAGAGGTCTCTTGCTGAAATGGTTTGGTACCCTCTGCACTCCTCTTTAGGTAGCATTGATTGAAACAGTTTGTGAAACATTTGTGTTTTCTTATTTGTTCTCAACGATGTATAATTGTGGAAAGTGGTTATATAGCATACAGATCATGAAATGATTGCGCCTGATTTATTGCAGTCGAGCAATGTTTGAAACAACAGCTAAATGGCAGCTTTTCCATGCACTACCAGCTGAAGCTGAAGCTTAAAAAACATTACTAATATATCAATTTTATTTTATTTGAACTTCTAACCTTATTGTAGTTTAGTGTGTAGTGCCGAGGAAGACTAGAAGTCATGTTGTGACATTTGTAAGCACTTGTTGTAGTGATGGTTAATATATCAAAATATTCCTAAGGCGGTGTTGATTTATATAGCTACAGGTCTTTCACTTGGTCTGTGACAGGCTTTGAGATGAAGATGGCTGAAGTAGTTCAGGTACAGTAGGTAGCTATGTCACCATGCGTAGGCTACAAAGGAACAAATGAAAGTTTATTCCATGCTGAAGAGAAGAAAAGAAACAAAATGTTTTGGCTATGGAGCCAAAGAAAAAGCTGTGTGAAGAAGACCCCACAGCCGAAAATTGTTTTTCTTCTCTTTTCAGCATGAAATAAACCTTTACTTGTTTGTTTGCGACATTAAGATGTGATGTTTTTATAAAGAGGGCAGTGTAGGTGGCGACAACTATACATCTGAGCAAAATCATTGTAAAGGGATGCCTGGCATTTTGTTTTTGAAAAAAATATTTGAAAGATATATTCACCAGTTGAGAATTTTATAGAGGCTGCTGTTACAGGAAATACAGTAGTAATAGTACAACAAAGGTTTGCTATATAAAGTAGATTAATGATTAATAAAAATAAATTAATTTTGTGAACCAACAGAATATACTGTAGAGAATATACTTCACTCTATCACTTTATTGGCCATATACAATTTCTTGTATTAGGAATTTGTCTTTTCGCATAAGAACATTTCAAAGAACATTTTTCTAAAATCATGGGAATTCTTGATGCCAGATTTTTTATAACGTTTATTTTTGATGCAAGCAATAAACTCCATACAAATAAAGTATAAAAGAACAAGTAATAGGTTTATTCCATGCAGGTGTCACCTGAAGAAGGCTCCACAGCTGAAACGTTGTGTTCTCTTTCTTCTTTTTTTCAGCATGGAATAAACCTATTACTTGTTCCTTTGCAGCCTACGCATGCTGACGCAGCTACGCACCTAAAGTATAAAAGATCTGTTAAAAGATTGTTTAAATAATAGTTTATAAGAAAACAATGTAAAGAGGATATTTACAGTATTTTTTCAAGTTGCCAAAACCATATTACATTTTTTTGTCTCTTACAAGACTCATACTGTAAATAGACAGTCATGTTCTGTGACGCATATCATCATTATCAAGCCTTGTGGTGAGGTTAGTTCCTAACCTTGGTTTCATTCCTGTGAGAATCAGATTGAAATCTACTCCAGGACATTGAAAGCAAAGGTCAGACATTATCTGTCCATCACATGGTTCTTGGAGAAAATGAGTTGTGATGGTGATTGAAGAAAGAGATGTAGTCACTCCCTGAAGGGAGAGGGTTTGTCCAAAGACGCAATTGATGATGTTTCGTTCCCTACAGATATGGTGAAATTGAACTTCCTTGTTTACTATATGTGACTTGTTTGTCAACTTACAAATATGTACAGTATGGTGGCTTGTGTACGTGGTATGAGATCAAAAAGCAGACCCAATAACTGAAAAAAATAAGGCTTTCTGTGATACTTTCCTGGGTAGAATCCTTTCGATGCAGTCCGCTTGTCCATGTT